TGTATGATAATCTATATAGAGAAAATAACTTTTTTTCAGGTTTATGGTGCAGTACGAGTGTATATCACAGTTAGCCCTGTGCTATACTCCGTTTTCTCTAGTGTAAGCTCCCAAGACAGGGATAGGAGAATGGTATTTGTATACCATATCCTCTTCATACCTCCGTCGAACTGCTTGGTATTATGCCAAATATTATTTATTCTGGAGTATTTAACATGTTTTATGTTATTTATATTGTTTATGTCATATTAGATCAATTGTGATAAGCAAATAAGCTGTAGTGTTGATATTAGCGTAATAATAAAGCATATTCTCCTGCATCATGAGACTGAGCTCATGGCAACCGACAGTAGCTTCAAAGCCACCTTATCTTGAATGGACAATGTACTGTGTTGGTGTTTTACATAATGAAAAGCATTTCTTTTATTCATTGGAACCATGGCTAAGGCTAAAAGTAAGGAGGTTATAACAATAAATGGAGAAAAAGAAATTGGAATGACTTATGCAGCAAGTAGCCACCAAACAGTACCAGCAGGTTGGTGTGGTAACCCTGAAAATTTGAAATTCTACTAGCCAAAATTAGTGCCGAATAACTGAAGGAACCGAATAGTAACCAATTGCCGGATTTGTGATGGTGAACCTGTATTGAATTTTAAAACAAATGCCCCAATCCAGTTGGCAAGATAACAATTGGTGGGCATGTTAAAAAAAAAAAAAAAAAAAAAAAAAAAAAAAAAAAAAAAAAAAAAAAAATGGTACTTAGTCATTTCTTTTTGTTTCTAATGTAAAGTTTTGTGTTAATAATGTTTCATACCGAGGAATCTGCCAAACTAATACAGAATTATTCTGACATTTAATGTTAAAAAATTTACAAAGATCAATGCACTATGATAATTAATAATTTTAAGTAGTGAATTTGTTGAGTGGCAGTTTTAAATTTTCCTATTAGAACAATAAACCTCAAAAAAATAATATGCCACGTTAAATGATAAAATGTGTATAGGCTCCTAAACTGAACATAAATAATTAAGCAGAGACAAAAATGAATGTTAAAGAAGTGAATCAGATATTAAGAAACAGACCACCTGCAACAAATCCTTCCTCACAGCTGGATGTCAGAGGCACTAAATGTTTTCAAAAAGAAAAACAAACTTATTGATATAGGAGCTATGAGACATGATAGGAGTCAAACAGACAAGGTATTAAATTAAATATGTATCAGGGGTTTCAAATAGAGGTAGAGCTAAAGAAGGAGTAGCAATAATGTTGAAGGATAAGCTATGGCAGGAAAAGAGGGACTATAAATGTATTAATTCAAGGATTATGTGGAGTAAAATAAAGATTGGATGTGAAAAGTGGGTTATAATAAGCGTGTATGCACCTGGAGAAGAGAGAAGTGTAGAGGAGAGAGAGAGATTTTGGGATATGTTGAGTGAATGCATGGGGAGTTTTGAATCAAGTGTGAGAGTAATGGTGGTTGGGGATTTCAATGCTAAAGTGGGTAAAAATGTTATGGAGGGAGTAGTAGGTAAATTTGGGGTGCCAGGGGTAAATGTAAATGGGGAGCCTTTAATTGAGCTATGTGTAGAAAGAAATTTGGTAATAAGTAATACATATTTTATGAAGAGGATAAATAAATATACAAGGTATGATGTAGCACGTAATGAAAGTAGTTTATTAGATTATGTATTGATGGATAAAAGGTTGATGAGTAGGCTCCAGGATGTATATGTAGCTACATGCACATGTAGCTATAGTTAGAGTAAGAGGTAGATGGGAAAAGAGGAAGGTGGCAATAACAAGTAAGAGGGAGGTGAAAGTGTATAAACTAAGGGAGGAGGAAGTTCGGGTGAGATATAAGCGACTGTTGGCAGAAAGGTGGGCTAGTGCAAAGATGAGTAGTGGGGGGGTTGAAGAGGGTTGAAATAGTTTTAAAAATGCAGTATTAGAATGTGGGGCAGAAGTTTGTGGTTATAGGAGGGTGGGGGCAGGAGGAAAGAGGAGTGATTGGTGGAATGATGAAGTAAAGGGTGTGATAAAAGAGAAAAAGGTAGCTTATGAGAAGTTTTTACAAAGCAGAAGTGTTATAAGAAGAGCAGAGTATATGGAGAGTAAAAGAAAGGTAAAGAGAGTGGTGAGAGAGTGCAAAAGGAGAGCAGATGACAGAGTGGGAGAGGCACTGTCAAGAAATTTTAATGAAAATAAGAAAAATTTTTGGAGTGAGTTAAACAAGTTAAGAAAGCCTAGGGAAAGTATGGATTTGTCAGTTAAGAACAGAGTAGGGGAGTTAGTAGATGGGGAGATGGAGGTATTAGGTAGATGGCGAGAATATTTTGAGGAACTTTTAAAGGTTAAGGAAGAAAGAGAGGCAGTAATTTCATGCACTGGTCAGGGAGGTACACCATCTTTTAGGAGTGAAGAAGAGCAGAATGTAAGTGTGGGGGAGGTACGTGAGGCATTACGTAGAATGAAAGGGGGTAAAGCAGCTGGAACTGATGGGATCATGACAGAAATGTTAAAAGCAGGGGGGGGATATAGTGTTGGAGTGGTTGGTACTTTTGTTTAATAAATGTATGAAAGAGGGGAAGGTACCTAGGGATTGGCGGAGAGCATGTATAGTCCCTTTATATAAAGGGAAAGGGGACAAAAGAGACTGTAAAAATTATAGAGGAATAAGTTTACTGAGTATACCAGGAAAAGTGTACGGTAGGGTTATAATTGAAAGAATTAGAGGTAAGACAGAATGTAGGATTGCGGATGAGCAAGGAGGTTTTAGAGTGGGTAGGGGATGTGTAGATCAAGTGTTTACATTGAAGCATATATGTGAACAGTATTTAGATAAAGGTAGGGAAGTTTTTATTGCATTTATGGATTTAGAAAAGGCATATGATAGAGTGGATAGAGGAGCAATGTGGCAGATGTTGCAAGTATATGGAATAGGTGGTAAGTTATTAAATGCTGTAAAGAGTTTTTATGAGGATAGTGAGGCTCAGGTTAGGGTGTGTAGAAGAGAGGGAGACTACTTCCCGGTAAAAGTAGGTCTTAGACAGGGATGTGTAATGTCACCATGGTTGTTTAATATATTTATAGATGGAGTTGTAAAGGAAGTAAATGCTAGGGTGTTCGGGAGAGGGGTGGGATTAAATTTTGGGGAATCAAATTCAAAATGGGAATTGACACAGTTACTTTTTGCTGATGATACTGTGCTTATGGGAGATTCTAAAGAAAAATTGCAAAGGTTAGTGGATGAGTTTGAGAATGTGTGTAAAGGTAGAAAGTTGAAAGTGAACATAGAAAAGAGTAAGGTGATGAGGGTATCAAATGATTTAGATAAAGAAAAATTGGATATCAAATTGGGGAGGAGGAGTATGGAAGAAGTGAATGTTTTCAGATACTTGGGAGTTGACGTGTCGGCGGATGGATTTATGAAGGATAAGGTTAATCATAGAATTGATGAGGGAAAAAAGGTGAGTGGTGCGTTGAGGTATATGTGGAGTCAAAAAACGTTATATATGGAGGCAAAGAAGGGAATGTATGAAAGTATAGTAGTAACAACACTCTTATATGGGTGTGAAGCTTGGGTGGTAAATGCAGCAGCGAGGAGACGGTTGGAGGCAGTGGAGATGTCCTGTTTAAGGGCAATGTGTGGTGTAAATAGTATGCAGAAAATTCGGAGTGTGGAAATTAGGAAAAGGTGTGGAGTTAATAAAAGTATTAGTCAGAGGGCAGAAGAGGGGTTGTTGAGGTGGTTTGGTCATTTAGAGAGAATGGATCAAAGTAGAATGACATGGAAAGCATATAAATCTATAGGGGAAGGAAGGCGGGGTAGGGGTCGTCCTCGAAAGGGTTGGAGAGAGGGGGTAAAGGAGGTTTTGTGGGCAAGGGGCTTGGACTTCCAGCAAGCGTGCGTGAGCATGTTAGATAGGAGTGAATGGAGACGAATGGTACTTGGGACCTGATGATCTGTTGGAGTGTGAGCAGGGTAATATTTAGTGAAGGGATTCAGGGAAACCAGTTATTTTCATATAGTGGGACTTGAGTCCTGGAAATGGGAAGTACAATGCCTGCACTTTAAAGGAGGGGTCTGGGATATTGGCAGTTTGGAGGGATATGTTGTGTATCTTCATATGTGTATGCTTCTAAACTGTTGTATTCTGAGCACCTCTGCAAAACAGTGATAATGTTTGAGTGTGGTGAAAGTGTTGAATGATGATGAAAGTATTTTCTTTTTGGGGATTTTCTTTTTTGGGTCACCCTGCCTCGGTGGGAGACGGCCGACTTGTTGAAAAAAAAAAAAAATGTATCTAAGGTGTGGATGTTCATAAATGCATTTCTTCTTCTCCTTCTTCTTTCAACAAACTGACCGTATCCCACTGAGGCGGGGTGAGCCAAAAAGAAAAACAAAAAGCTTCACTTTTTAACTTTAGTAATGTATACAGCTCCCAGCATTTTATTCTCTTCTTACGACACACATGGCTTACGGAGGAAGAAGTCTGTTCCACTTTTCCATGGAGATAAGAGGAAATAAACAAGAACAAGAACTAATAAGAAAATAAAAGAAAACCCAGAGAGGTGTGTATATATCTTCTTGTACATGCATGTGTAGTGTGACCTAAGTGAAGTAGCAAGACATACCTGAAATCCTCCATGCTTTTTTTTTTTTTAACACATCGGTCATTTCCCACCGAGGCATGTTTATGAGACTGAAAAAAAGACACCAGTAATCCTACCATCATGTAAAACAATTACAGACTTTCGTTTTACACTCACTTGGCAGGACGGTAGTACCTCCCTGGGCGGTTGCTGTCTACCAACCTACTACCCAAGATAAATGGATTTACTTTACTAAAAATGAATGAAATAAACTAATTTTTATATTACTCCATTTCATGGCATTAAAAGAATTATCATAATTTTACTTGGAAGGTAAAATGATGAATTAACTAAATGCTTTAATAATTTTTAAAACATAAAAGCACATAAAATATCTTTTGCCATACCTTTATAGATTTATGCTTCCGGGCAGAATTTACTTTCTCTGTGTGAAGGTTTGCAGCAACCATGTGTGTTGTATATATATTCTTTTTATCACCATTTTCAGTGTCTGTTTTAGCTTTTACAATTAGTCTTTCAGATACTGATGCACCAAAACTTGTAGCAATAATATAAGCTTTGGAGTATTGTAACTTCATTTGTTGTGGCACTACTCCTGAAAAAACTATGTTCACACCTTTTAAAACTTCCTTGCGAACTGCAGGAACAATTGCTTTCAAGTCAGGTAGCGGATGATCTACAATAGCTTGTTCTTGAGGTGCATCATACTCTTCAAAAAATCTTTTGTGTATTTTCTTTAAGATATCTTCCAGGTACAACAAGTAGTCATCATTGTCTACAACATCAAGTACATTATTGCCATTTCTTTTAGTACAAGTCACAATTTTACCAGATGCTGCTATACTGCCATCTACTTCCTCCTCTTTTCTGATGGAATCATTGTTTGTCAGGGTATCCATTTCAATCATTTTCATGTCTAATTTATCAATATTTTTCACTTTCATTTCATTATCAATATTTTTCTTTTCACTATTTGGCTTCATCTCACTGAGGTCTGCTTTAGTATTTTTATCTTCAACCTTATCTTCACTTGCGTTTCTGTTTGGCAATGAATCTGTTAATAAAATTCTTTCTGAACTATTTTCTTCTTTAGTGCATTTGCTATCAAACACTTTATTAACTTTTTCATTCTTTCCATCTATCTCTTTCATATCATCATTAATAACTGTTTCAGTTCTCGTCTGATCTGAATTTACACGGCTGTCTTCTATAACTTTATGTGACATTTCTTTAGAATCCTTATCATTATCAGAATCAGAACTGTAATCTTTTTTGTCTTCATCACCATCGTCATCCTGATCATCTGCAGTAGTAAATCCTGTGAAGAAAGCACTAATTAAATATAGTCTTAAAATTTAAGAGAGAGTTTCTGTGCACATGTAGGAAGGATTACAACAATCAAGGATGTAAATTAATAAGGAAATAAACACCCGAAAACTAGTCTGGCAATGGTACTAAAGGGTATGATACAAGGCAATGTCCTCCCAAGAATTTTCTTTAGGAGAGATCATTTTAACCCTTAAACGGTCCAAACAGATCGACGTTCAAATTCGTAGTGCTACAAAAGTAGATCTACTTTTTTTTTACATTTTTTCAAATATAACAAAAAAAATGTAGATAAAAGTTTTTCACACATTTTCACATGTAAAACAAAAAAAAAAAAAAAGATCCACATTTTTTACATACTTTCAGATGTTGAAAAAACGTATATATACGTTTGGACCATTTAAGGGTTAATGATCAAATAATTTTTAAGCCAAAAGCCGAAGATCACAATTTTTTTTTTAACACTTCAGCTGCTTCCCACCGAGACAGGATGACCCAAAAAGAAAGAAAAAACCTCATTCAACACTTTCACCATCACTCATACATAATCACTGTCTTTGCTGAGGTGTTCATATACAACAGATTAGATGTCCCTCCAAACTGCCAATATCCCAAACCCCTCCTTTAAAGTGTAGGCATTGTACTTCCCATTTCCAGGACTCAAGTCCAACTAACTGGTTTCCCTGAATCCCTTCACAAAATATTACCCTGCTCACACTCCAACAGCTTGTCAGGTCCCAAAAACCATTCATCTCCATTAAGTATGATTCAGTATATACCTTACACAGCAAAACATTTTCCAAGACAGAAATGTTAGCATTTACGTGGATTTTTGATGTTTACATGTCCACAGCAATACGTAGCCTCAATGCACCACGTGAGACAAATCTCTTGCATATCCAGACAGAAAAATTAAAAGCTTAAAACAATTTTAGTTACTAATTAGTGCCTCTAGATTTGCATTTTAGGTCTATACTCTACAACAAATTAAAAAATGCTCTGAAATTTAAAATTATAAGAAAATAGTTACATCCAGTAACATGACAATGTCATAAGTGTGCACAATTAGAAGTTACTCCTTTTACCAATTCCACAAGATGACTAAATTTCCTTAGGCAAAGGGATGGTCATTTCTTTCCCAAAGACACTCTCACTCTACATTACGACTACAAATACAGTGGACCTTCGGTTTGCGTGTTTAATCCATCAGCTAAAACTGAAACCATTTTCCCCATAAGAAATAATGTAAATGGAATTAATCTGTTCCAGACACCCAGAAGTATCAACAAAAAAAAAAATTTTTTTTTTTTTTTACCTTAAAGGTAGATTTACATGCACAAAAGAATGAACATTACACAAGACACTTACCTTTATTGAAGGCTGTTGCTAATGGATGGAAGTCAGGGAGAAGGGAAGAGGGAAGAAAGGTTATTGTTTGGAAGGGGAATCCCCTTCCATAAGGACTCTAGGTACCAAGTCCTTATCAGGGGTCACTTCTCTAGCTTACATATAGATTTACATGCAGAAAAGAATGACAAATGAATATAAAGCACTGATAAAATGTAGGTATAAATGAACATTTAACATCACACTTACCTTTATTGAAAAGACTTGGTGTATGGCAGACCGTTCAGCGGGGAGAGGGAGGCAAGTTTATCGTTGGAGAGTATGACACTAATATCAACTCTACGGCTTATTTATCTATCACAATTCAACTAATATGACACAATAAACAATATTAATAACATAGAAACATGACACATACTCTAGAATGAATAAGTCATTATGTATGTAATGACAGGTGTTCTGTTGTTGTTGGGTGTATAAGGGCCACTGTGAGCATAAGCCGTACATAACATTGATGAAGGCTGCAGCTGAGGCAGCGGTGTTTTCTGTAGCCCTATATAACTCCAACAACATTGGAGGAGTTAGTAGAATCGCTGAATCACTGAAGAAGGCACCCTCTACCACCACTACAACCACTACCACCTTATATCACCATCACTACCACCCTCTACCACCATCACTACCACCCTCTACCACCATCACAACCACTGCCACCCTCTACCACCATCACTACCACCACAACTTTCGTATTTTTCTACAAACTTTTCTTGAATTATATCATGTTTCTTGCATTCATTACTAAAGGGCTGACACTAGAAGCTTTCTTTGGGCCCATGGTGGCTTACTTAGCAGTCACACACAATAAACAAGTGGCAAAAACAATGGATTATTATGAAATGTTTCATATGACCTGGCAGGATATGTTCACTTACCAAGAAACAATGCTACACTGGCTGAGAATGATGTGGGAGGCGGCTTTGTCTGCATGCTGGGCAATGGACAGGTTCCGTATGATCGACAAAAAAGGAGGTAATCGACGAAAACAGAACCAAAAAATCAACGAAAAAAGTCGGCCAAAACCGAAATCAGTAATAACGGAGATCGATGAAAACGGAGAGTCCACTGTACTTTAATTAACCCTTTCACTGTCAAGACCCCTGCTCACAAACTTGCTCTCAGTGTCGAGAAAAAAAAATATCTTGCCAAAATCTTAAGAATAATTTTCTGAGCAAAAAAGAAAAAAAAAATTTTGCTATCAGTAGTTACCAAGATATAGAGGCATGAAGTTGACAAAGTGAACCGCTGATAGCAACACTGGCGACTGCCACTCACTGGGTAATGTTATTTTAACTTTTATTTTATTTTTTATTTTTTCTAATATTTTTTCAAGTAACTTTTGTGGCCTATGAGACCAATATAATGCATAATGTACATATATCCATTTGTTGTATGCAACACAATAACCACACAAATATTATTATTATTATGGCCTCTCCTCACTTTACGATGGAGTTCCGTTCCTAAGACCATGTTGTTAAACAAATTTGTTGTTAAGTGAGGAGCATACTATAATGGTAGTGGGTTTGTGTCAACCATCTTTGATATTGTTTTAATGTCACCTTTGCACCATTTATAACATTTCTGGTATATTTTTAAATGTTTATACAGTACTGTATATTGAAATAAACAGAACAGAGGAAATCAGCTCTGGTTAGAGAGCCCGTCGTAAGTCCGAGGCATTGGTAAATGAGTATGTCGCTAAGTGAGAAGAGGGTGTACATTGTTTACAAAACTTGTTACACTACTATTTTACACTCCTCACACATAAAACATGGTGTTATGCACAGTACTGTTTTACACTCCTCACACATAAAATGAGTGTCTCTGTGGGCATTTTGTTGTATGTGCACAGAGATACCCAATAACTTCCTGGTATCTTTCAATGTATTACTTCCAGTGTACACAATTATATCCAATACAAGACCACTGTAGCAATCACAAAGTACAAACAACTTTATAGCCACAGTTGTCTCTTTCCACTGGTGTAGGCATGATCCTGGTGAAACAACTGTTTGCCATGGTGTAAAAAGTAATTTTATTCAGGTATATACAAATACAGTTACACAGATTATCATACATAGCAGCATATGTGTAGAGAACCTAGGATAACCCCAAAAAAAGTCAGACAAAGTGACTTATTTCCATTGGGGTCCTTTTATTTCCATTGGGGAAGTATGGGTTACTTTCCCCTGACAATAATTTCCATCTGGGGTTTATCAAAGAGTAACTAAGAACACTGTAGTTCAGTGGCATTGTTCTCAAGTATACAAGATAGCCATATTTCACTTTTAGTTTCATCAAAGTGATGGAAATTGGGAACAAAATTGGCACCCGCTGCCAATCCCAGATGTGTTCTGCTGGTGGGTTACTGGATATTGACAGGTGGTTGTGGAGGTTGTTGTGGTTGTGCAGGATGTTATGGTTGTGCAGGTTGTTGTGGTGTGTGAGTGGTTGAAGGTGGTCTCTGTTGTGGATGTGTTGAGTCAGTGGCATGGCTATCAGTCTGGGGTGCCGCTGGTGCCACATGACGCATGGCACAACCACCTGCTGCCGCATGTATATTATCTATCCCAATTGTAACATTACCCATACAGTCTTCCCCACCACCCACACTGTCTTCTTCACCACCCACACTGCCTTCCCCACCAACCACATTGACCTCCCCACAACCCACGCTGTCTTCCCTTTTCACTATCTGTTCCTGGTGTAGGGTCACGGGATGTACGGTAGACCATCATTAACATGGTAGTTACATTCCTGAAAATGTGTTAGGTAAAACTGTGCTAGATGAACTGAAGAACATATGGGAAAAAAGGGATACATTCCTGGGAGCCTCAAAAAAGCCAAACAAAAGTAAATATGTAATTGTAGTTCACTGTCATGATGTATTATTTTGTTTTTACTGCTTAAGATTACAAATGCAACAAAAATATTATTTCTTACCTTAAATTGTGGGTGCTGGTGTTTGTCGATGACTGTGGAGAGTGGAGAGTTATGCTGTGGCCCTACTGGGATGAGGTGGATGGTAGAGGTTCTGGCACTGAAGTCGATGGTTGTACAGTGGACCCCCAGTTCGCGATGCTATTGGTATCCGATAAATCTGGTAACCGATGCATTATATCGCAGAAAATTTGCCTCGGTTCCCGTTAAAAAACCCGGTATGCGATACGATTCATACAAGACATCTCCACATGTGGCCTGAACTGAACCGTGTGTGCCAGTGTTTACAAGCCAGCCAGTATGCGGTACATTCCATATTATCCATATTATCACTGTTTTTGGTGCTTGTTTCTGCAAAATAAGTCACCATGGGCCCCAAGAAAGCTTCTAGTGCCAACCCTTCGAGACAAAGGGTGCTAATGACTATTGAAATGAAGAAAGAGATAATTGCAAAGTACGAAAGTGGAGTGCGTGTGTCGGAGCTGGCCAGGTTGTATAGTAAACCCCAATCAACCATCTCTACTATAGTGAGCAGGAAAACGGCAATCAAGGAAGCTGTTCTTGCAAAAGGTGCAACTGTGATTACGAAACAGCGACCTCAAGTGTTAGAAAATGTTGAGAGATTGTTATTGGTGTGGATAAATG